CAGTTGTTAAGCGTCTGCTTTCAGCTCAGGTCGTGATCCCAGGGTCCTGGGATCGAGCCCCGCGTCGGGGTCCCTGCTCAGTGGGAAGCCTGCTTCTCCCTCTCCCACACCCCTCTTGCTGTGTCTCTCTCTGTGTCAAATAAATAAATAAAATCTTTAAAAAAAAATTACACATGTCCACTACATGTTAGAAACTAATCATTTTTGACTAACGAAACAACCAAACCATTCAAATTAAATGTCATACAGATAAAATTTAGATCTGAAACTCCTTTGAAATTTTGGATGCCTCCAAGAGCATGCAAATGTGTGGAGATGGAGCTTCATCCTCATCAATTAATTGGTTAACATTTAGCTTACTTTTTTCAGCCTAAGATACAAAAGACTCATGCCTTCAAAGTGCACTCAATCCCACCGGGAGAAAAGAATATCACAGATGAAACAATTACAGGATATAAAACAGCAGATATTTACTTGTTCCTTCTGCGTGTGTGTGCATGTGTGCATGTCTGTGTGAGTGTGCCTGTGTGTGTGTGTGTGTGTGTGTGTAAGAGATCATATATTCCACTGGTTCTGAAGTATTCTGATCTCAAGATGTTTTATATTCTTAGAAATCTCTGATGCTCTCAAAAAACTATTTTTTTTTAAGATTTTATTTATTTGACAGAGAGAGAGAGAACACAAGCAGGCAGAGCAGCAGACAGAGGGAGAGGGAGAAGCAGGCTCCCCGCCAAGCAGGGAGCCCGACGGACGCAGGGCTCGATCCCAGGACCCTGGGATTATAAACTGAGCTGAAGACAGCCGCCCAACCAAATGAGCCACCCAGGTGTCCCTCAAAAAACTATTTTTATGTAGATTATATGTATTGATATTTATCATATTATAAATTAAAACTAAGAATAATTTATTTTTTTTAAAGATTTTATTTATTTATTTGACAGAGAGAGAGACACAGTGAGAGAGGGAACACAAGTAGGGGGAGTGGGAGAAGGAGAAGCAGGCTTCCTGCTGAGCAGGGAGCCCGATGTGGGGCTCAATCCCAGGACCCTGGGATCATGACCTGAGCCAAAGGCAGACGCTTAACAACTGAGCCACCCAGGCATCCCAAGACTAAGAATTATTTAAAACACAAGAATACAGGGCGCCTGGGTGGCTCAGGTGGTTAAGCAACTGCCTTCGGCTCAGGTCATGACCCTGGAGTCCCGGGATCGAGTCCCGCATCGGGCTCCCTGCTCGGTAGGGAGTCTGCTTCTCCCTCTGACCCTCCTCCCTCTCGTGCTCTCTGTCTCTCATTCTCTCTCTCTCAAATAAATAAATCTTTAAAAAAATAAAATAAAATAAAACACAAAGATACAGAAGTACACATTCTGTGAGCGGCCAGTGAAATGATCACTCATCATGAGGACAACTCTACTGTACAGCCATGGGTAAAGGAAAGTAAAAATGAGAACCCTGAGAACTACTGGAATGTGTGTGTGCGTGTGTGTTGGTTAGTAACATTATACTTGCTTAGCATTCAATGATAAACTCTTAGCTGCTATTTATACTTCAGCTGATTTTTCTGATTCTGTCTCCTTAATCTTTTTGGCTGGGTCCTTTTGGCTTATAACCTTGCAATTACTGTTTAAAATTAGATGGCAGAGTCAGTCCTACAGAAAGGTTCCCATGTTGGTTGATGATCAAAGGACAATATAATCTGGTTCCTTATGGTTCTACCTAGAATAAGAGTTAGATTCTTCTTATCCTAAATAGTTGCTAAAATGACTGTCAGAAATTAGGGGGGAAAAGCTTATAGGACACTGTAACAATATTCATAATTTAAAAACCACAGTTATAGTTTAAAAAGCAACTATAATTCATTTGTTATCTTTGTTTCACCTTATATATTCGGGTCTGTCATACATGACCCAAGTGGTTTTATTTAAAAAAAAAAAAAAAGTTGGAAGATTCTCCTTTAACAATTCTCCCCTGTCCCTTTAGTCACTGAATTCACTTTTAGGAAACCCTAAAGACAGCAAAGCCCAGCCACGTGGCCAGCTGAACCGCACACGCTTTCCCAGCCGTCTTCACTGCCCCTGGAGAGAGGCTGCAGAACCAGCTCTCCCTCTCTGTACTCAGCATTCTCTCTCCCCAAAGAGGACTTGAGTGCAATTTTTATTTTATTTCCTCTTCAGCAGCCAGGGCAGTCTCCTCATTATCTAGAACTTGGTGGAAGGCTTCAGGTCTCCCCTGAGCCGTTCCGACAAACAAGGTTGTACTGAAGTATGAACACTCATGTTTTTATAACTTGCTATTTGTTTCCTATGTTGTTATTCAGCGGACTTGTTAATTATACAGTATAACGAGAATAAACGTTTTCTTAATAAACTCAGAAACCTCTAGGCAGACTGAAAGTACTCTTATTTATTACAGAGAGAAGGAGAACACATTCCTACTTTTGAGCGCTTATTCGAACTCGCTCAATTCTGGTGTGAAAGCACGGCCACGGCTTGGATAGAAGGGAGCCATTATGCTAACAGGGACCCACTTGCCTTTTCCACCTTTTACAAACACGTGGTCTACAGCATGAGTGCAGGACACAGAGTTTTATGTGGCTGTTGGCAGAGACATTTAATTAATATTTCCAGGGAGGGAAAAAAGGAGAAACCTTTTGTTTTCCCAGTTAATGACCAATTTAAAAGAGAATGACAGTGAGAACATGGTTTCAAGTATGCAGATCACTCATAGTGTTTTGCACAGTGGGAATGCCAAGCGAACACACTCAGTTACTATCAAAGAACACACTGCAGTGCTGACTTAAGGCTGCTGTGGCGTTCTCTGGTCACCGTGCAGCCGAGGGGCAGGGGGGACCCTGCTGCCGTCATTACTACTGAATAGGGGTGACCCACCCTCTGCAATGAACTCTGAGGAAAGGCAGGAAAACTGAAGTTCATAAACCCATCTGGAGTACATTGTGATTTGGAAAGTCTCACACACACAAATGGTAAAATAAGGACTGTCAAGGACAGATTCTAAGCGGAATTTTCCCTGTATTTCTATGAAGCAGATACCTTAAGAAATTCATTTTTACTTAGTGAAAATTTCATGCAAGAACAAGTCAGCAACTCTAAAAACTGTCAGATTCAATAGAATTGGTATGTCTGTTAGGAGTTCAACCTGTCCTTTCATGATTGGCAAATACCATTAAATATGATCCATTTTCTCAAAGACATAGTGATTTTCTGGTCTCTGATTACAGGAGAATGCTGCTAGCACAACCTCAACACTAAATACATTCGACACATTTTTGTGGAAGAAATGACATAGGAGTGCTGTGTAAGCAAATGGTAACTGTATAAAAATAAAACATTTATAGAGGAATTCAAGTTTTTTTTTTTTTCTTATTTATTTATTTTTTTTATAGAGGGAGGGGTAGAGGGAGAGAGAATCTTAAGCAGGCTCCAGCCCCAACACAGAGCTGGATGCAGGGCTCAGTCTCACAATCCTGAGATCATGACCTGAGCCAAAATCAAGATTTGGACACTTAACTGACTGAGTCCCCCAGGCGTCCCTGCATTCAAGTTCTTAATAAACGCAATCCCCACGGCCACTCAGAGGCCCCAACTGAGGCTTCCAAGGAGTGATTAGGAAGAAATATTGTTCTTATAACAAGTTATGGCTCAGATAGAAGTGAGCTATTATGCTATTTTTTTAAAAACGTTGAGAATATCCAATTAGCAGGAAAATCATAAAAGATACTTTTTTTTTTCTTTTTGTAAAAGAGAAGTACTATGGAATTACAAACTTAATACCTTAATGGGAATGACAGATCATCACATTGCACACATACACAAAATAAATAAAAGAGAAGAAAAATAGCACGAGTCGGGTTGTGGCTGCACCCAGCTATCTCTGTTTATCAGCGACTGCTATCCGGACTGGGGGCTGTTCCCACAGTCTCGTATCAGCACAGCCATTTAGAAATGAAACAAACCACAGGAAACAAAACAACTCGCCGGCTGTCTGGTATGCATCAACCACTTCAAACTCTGAACTTAAAAATTCTCTCATGAAGTTTCTAAGTATCAACCCACTGAGAGTTGTTGTCCTTATTAGAACTCGATGGACTACTTCTGTGGTCTATGACAAGATAATTTTTAGCATCCTCATCTAAGCCATGTTCCAAAATATAAGGAATGTCACGGATAGTGGCACTGCCCTACAGGCATTCCTAATATTCTCCTTCCTGTTATTCTATAATGCTCATCCCTGTGCCGCTCCCATTCTCCCATGCCGTCATTCTCGGAGGTTAGGTGAGAACAGGCTCTTCATCTTTAAAGTGGATGAAACCAAGGCAACACACAAGTGCTGTCCTCCACTGACCACGGCTCACAGGACCAGAGCTGAGCAGAGCCAATTAGATCTCTCTCCCAGGAACGGAGAATTGGGACTTCAAGACTCTGGTCAGGTGGCTAAAGACACGACACTCACAGGGAGGGAGGAAGGCTGGAGTGACTATTTTAGGTCCAAGTCAGCAAAAAGAGAAATCTGGCCAATAGGGAATAGCTCAAGAGTAAAACAGAAGCAAAAGGAAGCAGAGTCTAGAAATTAAACAGCCTCAGAAAGACAAGATATTCTTGAATCCAAAGGCTTTTTCAATTTCAGGTTCTGGTTCTCTGTGAAATCCAGCCTCTGTACCTCTGCCCCTTGAGATCAGTGAGAAACCTCTGCATATTTTCTGTAAGACCGCTTCTTTTGCTTCTGTGTAATTAGTTTGAGTGGGTTTCTTGCCTGAGGTAAGAAGAGTCCTAATTATTAACAGTCACTAGCTTAGGGTTGACTTTCTCTAGCCACTTGTTAATAATCATTTACAAGTTTTTCCCTTGATTTGAGATAGCACTCCTTTATCTGCATATGAGAGGCACCAAGATCACAGTCACATCTTGAGAACAGAGATTGTTACTTACAAACCTAACAATGAAAGGAAAACTTATTACTGACAAAGTAAGGTAACTACTTACGTAATCTGGTAGAGGAACATCATTGGAACTCAGTGAACCTCTCAAGGACTGTGTGGCTTGTTCCAGAACTTTGTTGTGTTTTTTAGACAGCAAGGAAAACAAACTGAAAAAAACAAAAACAAAAAAAGAAAGAACTAAGTGTTTCCTTTCCTAGGTTTTATACAGTATTATAGAGTTCTGCAGAATGTCAATTATTCTAAAATATACATGTAATGATTTTTTTCTTCACGCCTGTGTTAACAGCAGGTTTAATAATACTATCGATATAACAACAAAATGAAGTGAGGAGAGTGTTTAAATTATAAGGATTCAAAAGAATAAAAAATAAGTTTGACAGCTTAAAATTCTATTTTAAACATAGGAGAATTTTCCACTATTGTGGAAAGAACAGTGGACAGAGATTCAGACAGACTGAGATATGCAGACTTCACGAGGAACTCTGAGTGCAATCTATTACTAGTCACTTGGACTTGTATCTTAATTTCCTCATCTTTCAACTAAGTGTGCTGGATTAAATTATTTCTCTAGTATAATATAGTCAATCACTTTTTATCACAGCTTTATCTTACGTCTCAAAAAGAATGACTTTAAATATATGTATTATAAGATTTCCACTTCTGGTCGTGATGGACTAACTGGTACCAAATAACCTTCCTGCTATTAACACCTTAAAAACTGGACAAAATATATGAAATGACTTTTTTTGGGGGGATGGTGTACAACATCTGCAGTGCAGGATTGGGATCCCTAGAAGAAGGGAGTACCTGCCTAGGGAAACATTCCAAACTGTGCGGCAGAATGCTGGGACCCAAGCAGTACACAGCAGCATCGTGGTGAGCTGAAAACACAAAGGGGTCAGGGTTTGGGGCTGCGTGGCAGGTGGAATTTGCAGGCAGATTATTCCACTGGGGAGAACTACAAGAGGAAGGCCCAGAAACCTGCCCAAGGGTCTTCTCCACTTGAGGTTTAGTTTTCTTTTGTTTTACCTTCTAAGGTTAAAAGTGAACCTCACACTTCGTGCTCGCACCCATTGCCATGATGCACAGGCAGCTACTATGTACCGGCAGCTTATTGTCTGTGATCCCAGAAATGTTAAAGGCAGCAAGCCCTGTGTATCAATGAATACTGTACATACATATCCATCTTTTTTATTCCATCAAATATGTACTGTTCTGTACTTCACACTTCTTTCATTGAATAAAATATTCCTTGATCCATTCAATAAATGTTGAGTGCCAGTAATGGGTATCTAAGCATATGGATATACCATAATTTATTTATATTTAGTCCATTATTAATCAATCATTTTAACATTTCCAGGTTTATTTTTTTATAAACAGCACTGTGATGAACACCCTTGTATATAGTTTTTTAGCATACTGAGGTGAGACTACGTACAGGATAAATTCCTTGAAGTAAAATTGCTGAGTAAAATAATAACGGAATAGAATAGTGAACTGTATTAGCAGTATACGTTTCAAATATACAAATTATTTTGTAAATGATGAAAAGGCAAAAATTTGTTGGGATAGGGTACAAAGCGTATTCACATGGAAATGCATAAAGGAAAAATTTACTAAGATTCTTTTAGTTTGTTAGCGGTACCTTTCAGGAATAAAGGGAATTTCAGGAGTTTTTCTGAGACCGAAGGAACTTTGACGGTGTCAGCTCTAGCACAGGGCATGGCAAGTCTCAGAGGCATGACCTGATGCCCAAACAAAAAGGGAAAGCACTAAATATGCCTGGAAGAAGTGCACATCCTGGTGTTAGTCAGAAGAAGGGGGGCAAGTGAAGAAAGACAGCGCCCCTTGTTGAGTTTACAAAATACCAGCAACCTGGGGGTCTGTCCGTGTCCCCCGAGTGTCCCTTCAGAGGACAGCAGAGATAATCTATGGTACCTTCCATCAAACTGTAGGAATCAAAGCACAAAGGACTTGAAATTGTTTCTTTTGGAGAAAAAAGGCGAGTTTTGTTTATTTTCAAAGAGAATACTAACAATCCATTTTCCTTGTTAGAAGAAGACAAAACAAGGAAGTGAGCCTCGATTCCAACGTAAGCTCTTCCAGTTGGGCATAACGGAAAATAATAAGGGCCGAAAATGTTGACTGGTCCACCTCAAGGATCTGTGGTCACTGCCCCCAGCTGCTCCTAAGAAAGCTGGTGTGAGAACAGCTGATTTGAGGCCACTTCCAGTTTCCTATCATGAATGAGAAACAGCATTCACACTTACTTCAAGTTGTTATTCTTTGACAATTTAATAGGCTTTTCCCTCAGGTCTTATAGCTATAGAACTTTCAACTTTTTTTAAAACATTCTAATTCTGGCTCGCATTTAACATTTTTAAGGCAAAATGACCTAAATGTATAGGAGACATGGCTTGTAAATTGCTGAGAAAAGTAACTTCTGGTGAAAGCTTTGCAATCGAAGTACTAGCCCCCTTAGCTTACTTCCATTAGAGTAAATGGTAAAGGTATATGATGTTTGCGTGTAAAGGGGTAATTCTGAGCGAAACTGGCTTTCAAGTGTACTATTCACTCAGGATATCACTGCCAGAGTCCTTGCTTTTAGAATTAGAAAAAGACTAGGTTTTTCTTTTTATACAAGAATGTTCACTACAAATTGGTTTAACAATGAAAAACTGAAAACAATCAAAACACTGATAAACAATAGAATAGGTAAATATAACTGTCAGATAGTCCTATAATGAACAACTACATAGTAATTTAAAGTTATCTAAGGCTACATGCAACAATATGGGTAAATCTCCAAAACAATATTGTTTTACCAGCAAGGACTCTTGTGGAAGAATGTGACCAAAGTAATATTATTTACATAATGTATTAAAAATGCAAAAATGTTATTACCTACCTTCTACACATAAAACGTGAAATAATAAAACATATGGAAATGATAAATACTACATTTAAGATAGCCATTATTCTCTGAGAAAGGGAAGGAAATGGGATCAGAGAGGGAAAAAAAGGGATATGGCTCTCGCTCTCTCTCTCTCTCAATCTCTCTCTCTCTTGTTCTCTCTATGTATAAAATGTTGTTTTTGTTATGCTGGATACATACACAGGGGATTGCTATATTACTCTATCTCTTTGATGTATGCCTGAAACATTACATACCTTTTAAAAATTGGAATAAAAAGAATACCCTATCCTGAAGAAAACAGAGCCCTTGCTAAAAGCCAGCATTTCAGAAAAGAAAGCAGCACGTGGACAGACTCTGTATGGTCAGTCCAACATGAAATAGGCTCAGAAAACCACCAGCTGTGGGAAAGGGCTGCAGTTCAGGGCTCACAGGCAGTGGCAGGAGATGAGGCTACAACAGAGACAGTCTGAGGACAGACTGGGAGGGACCACTTAGGGCACATCGAAAGTCCTGGACTTGACTCAATATGGAGAAGAAGCTAATGGAACATCAGTCTAACAAAATGATAAAAGAGACATGTTCCTTGCTCCCAAGGAGCTGAAATCTAAGGTGATAAGGAAAAAAAAAAGCCTGCAATTCTGAAATTGGAGGACACCATGGGTCTCAAGAGTGCACTGCGGGAGCACAGAGGAAGGCCAGGTACATGTCAGAGGAAATCTATCTTGTGGCCTTGAAGGTCAGGGGCTTGCTAGTGAGGAGAAGTACAGGGGGAGGGAGAGTAAGTAACTCAGAAGGGGAAATGGTGTGCCAAGAGGCTCAGAGAGACCACGGCCAGAACAATGCAAGTCCACGGGGTGAGGGTGGCAAGAGAGGAAGCCGAGCAAGACTGGGATGGGCCTATCAAAAAAAAACATGCTAAGAGGTTTGCATTTCATCTTCTCAAGTTACTGAGGCAAGCAGTAAGTCAAATATTTACCAAGAACCTACAATGTGCTGGGCAACGTGCAAGCTGCCTGGGATATAGTGACAAGCAAAAGCAGCACGGTCTTTGTCCTGCCCTCCTGGAGGGTGCGGCTGGTAGGGAGGATAAACCTACACAGAAGGTTCTACTGTCCGTGCAGTGACGGAGATGGACAAGGAGTGCTAGGGGGACACAGATGAGGCTGCCCAGCTGCACCTGAAGACAGGAACAGGAAGTCATTGCTGGAGCTGACACCTGAGCTGAATCTGAAGGAACAATGAGGAGTGAGCCAAGCAAGTGAGGCAAAGGCAAAGGTCATCTGGGCAGAGAACAGAGCACAAGGGAAGACAGAGACATCTGAGCACTGTTGGTGTAGGCAACAGGATGGCACACATGTTCATCAAGTGTCCAATTTGTGGCAGAACACAGTGTTAAGGTTGGGCTGGTAGTGGGGATAGTTTATGAAGTGTCTCTCTTAGACCTTGGACTTCATCCTGAAAGCCAGAGGGTTGGTTTGTTTGTTTTTTTAAGATTTATTTATTTATTTGAGAGAGAGCATGGGAGGAGGGGCAGAGGGAGAGACTCTCCAGCAGACTCCCCGCTGAGTGCAGAGCCTATGAGATCATGACCTGAGCTGAAACCAAGAACCAGATGCTTGACTGAGCCACCCAGGCGCCCCTTGAAAGCCAGAGGTGTTTTATGACAGCAAGGGCTACAACAGGAGCGATGAAAGCAAAGCTGCTGTGTTTGGTGCTCAGGTGGGGAGGATGGGGCAAGGGATGGACAGGAAGTGATCAGCCCTTGTTCAGGCGTGTCCTTGATCTCTCCCCAGTGCTCTCTCATCCCGTGGTGGCCATCCAGTCCCTGCCACAGAACCCCAGGGCTCTAGGAAGCAAAGTGAAAAATACAGGCCCGAGGGGCACCTAGGTGGCTCAGTCGTTAAGCGTCTGCCTTTGGCTCAGGTCATGATCCCAGGGTCCTGGGTTCGAGCCCCACACAGGGCTTCCTGCTCAGCGGGAAGCCTGCTTCTCCCTCTCCCACTCCACCTGCTTGTGTTCCCTCTCTCTGTCAAATAAATAAATACATACATACATACATACATAAAATATAAATAAATAAATATAAAATAAAAGCTACTAGGACACACACACGGCTCGCTGCTCATAAAATCATGTGAGGCCTGCACTGTCTTCATCCATCCTGTGTTTCGTTTTTAGGGAGGATGAAATCGAGGCAGAGAGGAGTTAAGTACTCTGCTTAAGGCA